AGCCTGGCTAAGTGAGAAGAGTAGGAAGGTTGGAATTATATTTCTGCATAGAAACACATTCATAAGACACCCCTCTCCCCATATAGCCAGAGCTTGCTCACTCTCAAGCTATTTGCAGGAACAAAGGCCATTTTCATAACTGTTTCCATTAGAATTATGAAATAAGTTATGGCCACACCTTTTATAGAGACATGAAATAAGTTATGGCCACACCTTTTAATGGCAATTATAAAAATTCTATGTGGTGCTTTTTACTTGTTTATTAATTAATTTGTTTACTATTGTGGTGTGAATGCATGTGTGCACATACATGTGGGAGCTAGGGGTCAATGTTTAGTATCTTCCTCAGTCACTTCTCTGCCTTATTTTTTGAGATACAGTCTCGTACTGAACCTGGAGTCTGCTATTTTGGCTAGTCTGGTTGCCCAGCAAACCCTTGTGCCCATCTTTTCTCAGCCACCCCACCCAGGGCTAGGATTATAGGTAAATGCTAGCAAGTCCTGTGAAGCTATCACTTTACCCAATGAACCATTTTCTTGGACCACTATGTGGTGTTTTTTTAAGGGTAGCACGACCCCCTTAGTATTTACAATAATACTGTGAGGCACCTGCCCTTCTTTCTCCCTTTAGACTTGCAGGCAGTCACCCAGTGACTATCAGGGCTTTAAAATGACTCTGGAGCTTGTTACCCTAGGGTAGAGACTCTTAGCTGCTGTTCCTACTTACCTACCTAGACATTACTATCAAAATCCCTTGCAGGGTCTATGTGGATGCAGAATCAGGGCTCCATGTCCTAGGGGCTCCTGTTCAACAGCAGGGAGTAGGGTCTGAGACTTTCCCTCTGATGAACTTCTTATTCCCCATCAGATACTCCTCTGCCTATACCAGACCTAGCAAGGGCAGAAGACACATTCAGATTACAAAGCCAGCAGGTGGGTAGGACTCACCAGAAGCTAAGGTTTGCTTTCAAGGGGTTCTAGGTCTGGCTTCTTTCTCCGAGCCTTTTGCTTTGCAGAAAATGCCCATGCTAGGGAGATGGAGGTGTAGTTCAGTTGGTAGAGCCCTTGCCTAGCTTGCATGAGGCCCTGAGTTCCATCCCTAAAACTGCATGAACGGTGGCACAAACTTCTAAGCTCAGCCCTAAGGAGGAGAAAGAAGGATAAGGCTTCAAGATCATCACTGGCTACCTGTGGAGCGTGAGGCCAGCCTGGGCTACATGAGACTGTGTCTCAACATGAAAGAAGGATGAAACTGGGCTGTGGAGCTAGAACCAATTGACTGGTTGAGTGGGGAGCTAGGAAAGGAAGGCTGGAAGTTTAGTTGAGAGCTTTTCCTGGGTAAGCTATGACTTCAAACCGGAACTTGGCAGAATCTGCCTTCCCGGACACTGTGGGTGATTTGTAGGGACATGCAACCTGGAGGGTCAGAACAAGGAAAAGTTGTGATGTGGAGGAGACCCTCCCCATCTTCACTCTGCCCTCAGGGGCACCAGGCTTTGTCTGTTCTTGTTTTGAGGACTGCTTATTCCATCTGTTATACTTGGCTGCCTGCTCTTCCAGGAGGCTGGGGGAGGGAGGGAAGGGGCCAGGGCTTCATCTGGGCTCATGCTGTGTACCCATATATATATATTGCCACTGACAACAAAGAAGGATACCAGGAATTTTGCTTTCCTTATTCCTCAGCTGCAGCTAGGCACTGGGCACATAGCAGGAGCTCATACCCAACTCCTTAGTGCCAATTTTTTAAGTTGGCAATTTTTAAGTTGCATGGAGCTGGTCAAGGGATATAGTTCAGTGGTAGAATGCTTGCCTAGTACATGCAAGGTCCCAAGTTTGATCTCCAGAGCAACAAAAGACATACCAATAAATGAACAAAAACCCACTCAGGTTACTTAAAGCCCTCCTGTGGCCTCTTGGGTCTAGCAGGAGAAATTCATGGAGATTCCACCCTGCCCCCAATCTGGATGAGTTTTGGTTTGCTTGATTGTTTTTGCTTGTTTTGAGGCTGGATCTCATGTAGCCCAAGCTAGCCTGAAACTCCCCTAAGTAGCTGAGGATGACCTTGAACTCCTAATCCTCCTGCCTCCACCTCCTCAGTGTTGGGATCACAGGTCTGTCCAAGCGGTTCCCTGAGGATCTCCATCTTGGTTCTCATGATTGGCGTCATCTCTGCCTATTTGCCAAGACATCCCTCATTGACCTTTGGCTCTGTAGCCTACACATTGAAGCATAGGTCCTGAGAAGTTCTGGTTATGCTGATTTCTTTGAACAGTCCACAATTCTATCCATCCATTCAGGCTTGGCGCTTGTGGCTGAGGGTTGTTGAATGTTATGTGAGCAAGAGTCCTATTGCTTTGAGCTGCTCAAGGCTTTAACGAGGGTCACTTTGCAGTCTTAACTGGAGCTCTTAAGCCTCAGTGGGTTTAACTTTGGAGTCTAGAAATTACTCTAGGCTTTTTAAAGGACTGGAACCCTATTTTAGAC